CCTGATTGCTGTGTTTTCTGTCTCTTCGTTTTCTGTGGGTTCTTGTACTCCAAGCCTCTTGTATCATCCTGTCCTGTTTTATACTGAAACTTTCCAGTCTGGGGATTATAATTTCAGATCATTGAAAGTTCTGTGTGACTGCAGCCTGGATTCTCTGTCCCCTTGGCTGCTAAGTTCAGTCTCCACCTGTGCAGGTGTTTCCCCTGTGTTCAGGGGCCCTCCTATCTGTCTGTGTTTACCAGAGCACTTTGTGGCTCTCTGCAGCTGAGCAGCTTTGGTTTCTGACCTCACTCCCTCCTTGTCTCTTTTTCTGTCTCTCCTGACAAGTCTCATTCTAAACTGCATGGGCCTGGGTGGGCCATGATCACCAGATCAGTTCTGCTTGCAGTTTCCTGGGTATACAGCTGACTGTCAGGTCATCCACAGACCCCTCCTCTCTCCCTGTTTTGGGCTGAAGGGGGTCTCAACTTCAAGGCAGTCACTCACCTGGGCAACCTGAGAACCTCTTACACACTTCCCCATCAGGTAGAGTGTCTGGCAGGGAGGAGGGGCAAGTGGCAAAGGTGTCCTGAGTACAGGCCTTTAAGCCTGATTTTCACTCCTGACTTCAGTGGCATTTAAACCCAGAGCCCAGAGCCTCTCCTGGGGTGCTCCTTCCACTGCAGCCCCTTCTCAAGTGCAGGGAGGGGGTCTCTGGTGTTTCATTGTTCAGCCACACTTTCCTCTGCTCCCCATCTTACAGAAATGTGTGGACCACCACGTGCTGATGGCTTCTTTTCTTTAGCTGACTGGCTTTTCTTTAAAACTAGGTGGTTTGGGGGACTCTGGCTAGGTGGTCCAGTGGCTGAGACTGTGCTCCCAATGCCGGGGTCCCAGGTTCAATCCCTGGTCAGGGAACTAGATCCCACATGCCGCAACTGAGACCTGGCACAGTCAAATAAATAAAAACAAATATTAAAAAAATCCAGGTGATTTTTAAACCTGTTAGTTCCCTGTGGTGCTGTAACAGATGACCACAAACAGTGACTTAGAGCAACGTGAATTTATCCCCTTGTTCTGGAGCTCTAAGTCTAGAATGGGACTGCGGGGCTCTTACCCTCCTGGGGGCTCGGGAGGGTTGGCTCCCTTGCTTTTAGTCTGTTTTGGAGGCGTCTGCGTTTCTTGGCTCTTGGGCCTTACCTCCAGTGTGATCACTGAACTCTGCTTCCATTGTCCTGTTTTCTCTGATGCGGACGCTCTCGCCTCCTTCACTTGTAAGCACCATTGTGATCACATTGAGCCCACCTGGATAATCCAAGATAATCTCCCCATCTCAGCATCCTTCATGTAATCTCATTGCTGTAACTGTGACATCTTTTGTCATGTTGAGGGAACGGCCATTAGGATGTGGACGTCTTTGGCAGGACCATCATTCAGCTGACCACAGATATCCACGTTCATCAACCTTAGCAAACAAATGTCACCTTTCAGCTTTCTGCCTTTGTGTCTATTTGGATACCTTAAAAAAAAAACTTAGATCCTATGATAGGCCATAATGGAAAAGAGTGTTTTTTTTAAATGTATATATATGTATAACCTGGAGAGGGAAATGGCAACCCACTCCAGTACTCTTGCCTGGAAAGTCCCATGGATGGAGGCGCCTGGTAGGCTGCAGTCCATGGGGTTGCTACAAGTCGGACATGACTGAGCAGCTTCACTTTATATGTATAACCGAATCAATTTGCTATACAACAGTTACAAACAACATTGGAAATCAACTATATGTCAATAAGTTTCTTTAAAAGTTTATTTTTATTGACATATAGTTGATTTCCAATGGGGTATCAGGATGGGGAATACATGTAAATCCATGGCTGATTCATGTCAATGTATGGCAAAAACTACTACAATATTGCAAAGTAATTAGCCGCCAACTAATAAAAATAAATGGAAAAAATAAAAAATAAATAAAACAACAACGAAAAAGTTTTTTTTTTTAAGTCAAATATTAGGGGAAAAAAGTATTTTATAGCAAAGCTCAGATATTACATTGTTTCATCATCCATGTATGTATCTGAAACATACACACCTTTTATAGGAAATGAACACAATACCTTTATCACACCCAACAAAATGAACAGTAATTCTTTAGCATTACTTAGTACCAAGCCTGCATTTAGTTTTCCCCACTTGTCCCCAAAATATCTTTTGCTGTTGGTTTACTCAGATCAGGATCCAAGCGAGGATGGCACATTGCTTGTATTTCATATGCTGATGAAACCAGGTCGCCTCTCTTGTTGGTTTGCCTAATTTTGCCCTTGTGATGTCCTTGGATGAGTTCCTTCATCCTGCTGTCTCCTGTAGACGGGTAAATGAGCTAGAGGCTAGAGCAGTTACAGGCTTTGTATTTTGGGCAAGAGTCCTTGATAGGTGGTGCTGAGTCCCTCCTGTGCTGCATGAGTTGGCACAAGTTGTCTGTTGTCCCATTTCCAGATGATGTGATTGATTAGTGGGTGCAGGTATAGTCAGTCTGATCCCTCCGTCATAAATTTCCCTGTCTGCTTTGCATCTGTAGTTTAGCAGTCATCGCTGATCATTGCCAGAGTGCCAGGGTCCACTGTTTTATTAGGGGTTGTGGATTCTTTCTAGTGATTTTTTTTGTTCTGTCTCTGTTAAAGGTGGTTGTTCCTTTTAAGTATTTGTGTGGGGATCTGTTGGGCTCTTTGGAGGAGTGGGAGGTAAACTTGTGGCTTATTCTACCTGCTTGACTGCTGCCAGGGTGTGGGCTTGGATATTGTTAACTGTTGAACTTTGAAGCCATGTAAGTAGGTGCCACCTCACAGGGAGATAGCATCCTAAGAGCACCCTGGGCAGGAAGCATGGCCTCCTGCCTGGGGTTTTGCCAAAAGCTTTCACTTTCGTATCAGGTTTAAAGGATTTGTTAACAAAATAAGCCACTCGCTATATACAAATAAATAATACAAATATTTGTCAGAGAATTATCTACCTTACTTTCAATATATTAACATTAAAAGAGAAATAGAGCAGAGGATACATCACCAAATTGTGTTTTGACCAACATCCAGACTTAAACATTGCTGGGAAGTCCCAAGGCACAGCACATCTGGAGTCCCAACTGGGAAAGGGTCCCAGGCCGCGCATCCACTCTGTGGGTGAGACTTCAGAGATTGCAGTTTAGGTTCTTGCTCAGTTCTAGGACGGCGGCAAACTAATATCATCATCAATCTGTGACCAAACTGCAAGCCTGGTTTCATGTTAATGCTGTTTGTTTTGTCTTGTAAAACTTGGGATGTTGCTGGGACTTGGGCTTTGGTTGGGGCTTGGTTGGCCCGGCCCCCTTCAGGGGCTCAAGGACCTCAAGATTCCTCCCTCATCTTATCTAAGGTGCTGCAAGTCTTGGACTCAGCACACAGTTACTCCCAGTCTGGGCACTGTCCACACAGGTTAGAGGCAAGGTCAGAGGCCTGTTCTGCTTTGTCTCTGAAGCCTAAACAAGACTATTTTGTTTAAAAACTTCCCTAACACCCCTGAATGTATCACTCTGGAAGTACAGTGAGTTTATACTTTGTGCACCCTTAGGTTTTATGCACTTCTCTACCTGAATGTCACATTTAAGTAAAAATGTTTACGTTACCCAAAAATGTAGAGGCAGCCACCATTAAGAAAACTGAGGCCTGGACAGGTCTTCAAGAGGAAGACCCGTTGTCATTGAGGAGTCTGAGTTTTGGGAGGGTTTCACCATAGGAGGTTGTAATCAGCCATTGAAAATGTTTTTTGGAGTAAGAGAATCACGGGAGCAGAAGCAATTCTGTGTTTCAAGCCAGCTGTGTGAAGGGGGTGAGGGGAGCAGTTCAGACCAGCAGAGAAATCTACTCTGAAGACCCAGCATGAGAGCTGGCCCTCATCAGAGATGACAGGCTTGGTTTATGAGCCATGACCCACAGGGACGGAAGAAAGGCGGCCGTATGTGGTTGGAAGAGAAGTGTTTAACAGGCTTTGTAGAGGTTCACCAGATGCTATGAGGGGAAGCGCACTGCACACGTGTCCATTCAGTGGGTGTTTATCCTGAGGGAATTCTGTGCAGACCTGGAGGAGAGGACCATTGTGGATAGACAGGCCAAGAAAGAGGCCTCAAAAGGAGCAGGGGCTATGGGGTTTGTAGCATACCTCCCACAACACACAGCTCACTCCCCACTGCCCTCATGAGGGAAGATATGCCCCTGCCCCAGCCTGGAAGTGCCCGGATACCTGAAACTCACTTTGATGGCTTCAAAGGGCTGTACAGGATGCATTTGTTGCAAGAATCAGACGTCCCTTAATTTTTCTAGTGGGTATTCCTGGTTCTTAAAAACGTCAGTATGAACTTTTTAGAACTCAGAGTGCTTTGATAGCAACTGTAAGTGGTTCTCCTTGGCTTGGACAGTTCTGCTCAGTCCTGGCCCACCCCACCTCCAGTCCTTGGGAGGCTGTCCTCAGAAATAATCTGGGAGTGGAAACTTCTCTCTGTGCCCAGGAAGGCAGCCTCTGAATGTTTAGAGAACCCTTGCAGGTCCTGGATCCACTTGTAGAGCAGATGTCAGCCCCAGGTTCTCTGCTCTGTGGATCAGGGTTCATGTTCTGCGTCCATCTTGGTCCTGGTCCTGGTCTTGGTCTCATTAAGTGTCTGCAGCTCTGGAGAAGCAGGAAGAACTGCCCAGATACTACCCAGTGTTACTAGAACTGAGCAAGACTTGGGAGAGAGCTGCTCATTTTTATTGTGGTTACTGTGAGCCCAGGTATCCACTTTCCTAACAGTACATCCCAAATGCAGGGCCCTGGCTGGCTCCCAGTGAGACCTTACCCACATCAGTCAGAATATTGAATACATTCAGGGCAATTCCTCTATGTCCTGTTTGCTCTCCAATGCTGTCAGCCCTACTCCCTCCCCAGAAAACACTAGATGGAGGAGGGGGCAGGGAGAGGTGTCTCCCGGTTGAAGAGGAACATGTCCGGTCTTTTAGGAACCAGTGACCTTCAATGATGTGGCTGTGGACTTCACACAAGAGGAGTGGGGGCAGCTGGACCTTGTTCAGAGGACCCTGTACCGTGATGTAATGCTGGAGACCTATGGGCACCTGCTGTCTGTAGGTAAGCTGGTGGCTGACCAAATGAATACTGAATGAATAATGAAGCTGTCCTTGCAATACCCTCTGCTACTCCCTGTTTACCATCTTATATGAGCCTCAGGAGGGCCAAGGTGATCATGAGCCCTGAAGTTCAAGGATGGAGTCCCTACTGATCATAAAGTATGAATTGAAGTTACTCATGAAAAGAGTAGGGGAAGGAGGGTTACATGACTATACAAGTCTGTGTTTTTCTTCTTCATGTAGGGAATCAGATCACCAAGCCTGAGGTCATCTCCCTGTTGGAGCAAGGAGAAGAGCCATGGTCAATGGAACCAGCCTATCCTCTTCAAGGCACTTGTCCAGGTGAGAGCAGGCCCCAGGTGGGAGACAGGAACCTTCCTCCAAGCCCTACTTTTTGAGAAAAGGGCTGAGGCCATGAGGAGTTCACTTCCCCAGATAGCATCACAGTTCCTTCCAAGGAGCTTCATCCCTTGTACTATTTTCATAACAAAGAGTCCCACCTTCTTAACAAGGTAGCAATTTTTGTATGCTGCAGTTTCCCTCCTTACCTCTCATATTATGTGCTGTCCCTTTTGTCTAAAAAGACTTCTCATTCATTTACCTGCTTTTTAATTTTTTATTGCAAAACTTATATCCTGTAGTCACAGACTCTTCTTTCCAAAAAAAAAAAACAAAAACAAAATACCAGCAAAAGTGATTGTTTAATACAGATAATGTATTTACATGATTTAAAAACTCAAAGCTATATAAAATGGGTAAGTGAAAGAAAGTTTCATTTATACTTACACTGATGGTATCCTCCAGAGAGACACACAGAAACACACACAGGTAACCCCTTGCCTTTTAGTATAAATTTTGGGGTTATTTTATTAGTGGTTGTCCTAGGAATTATAATTAATGTCTTAATTTGCAGCAGTTTAGTTTGTATTTTATGTAATTGTCTTTTAAATCAGATAGGAAACAAAAATGCATTTATACAGTCTTGTATTTACCTATATAGTTACCTTTACTGGTGGTCTGTATTTTGAGTTACTGTCTTTTCATTTCAGTCTGAAGAACTCCTTTTAGCATTTCTCACAGGGCAGCTTTACTAGCAAACTCTTACCTTTTGTTTTCTCAGGGAAGGTCTTGGTTTTTCTATTTTTGAATGATAGTTTTGCCAGGTATAGAATTCGTGGTTGCCACATTTCTTTTTTCTGTCCTCCCTGGTTTCTGATGAGAAATAAGCTGTTAATCTTGTTGAGGATCCCTTGTGTGTGATGACTTGCTTCTCTCTCGTTGCTTTCTGGATTCTTTCTTTGACTTTTGAAAATTTAACTATAGTGTGTATGCACATGGCCTTCTAGATTCCCAGGAATATGTTAGAACTTTTCAAAGCTCCTGTACATACCTCACTCCTCAGCTTTTCCTTTTATTTTTTGGTTTGTATATTGTTTGCCCCAACCATTTTCCATCATCTTAGACAGTAATTTAAAATAAAAAAAAGGCTTCTTAAAACTTTGCCTGGAAATGTTTGACAGATCCCTACTTTCTGGAAACTTTTAGCACTGTGCAAGTTCCCACAAGCCTTTCAAGTGGGATCTCTCTTGGAACCACCAAACAGCTCAGATAATGACTATTATTTGGGAGTGAGGCTTTGAAAAAGCTCCAGCTTTGTTCTGTTTCCTCCAGCACCAGAAATATGGGATGTTATTTTCCAAGGCTACTGCTGAGTTGAGGAGTCAGAGATGGGATTAGGGTAAGTTAAAATGCTACAAATCTGTTACTATCAAAATTAACTATTCTCCTTGAATAAACTCTCTCTGGGTCACTGCACAGCTTTGGTTAAGCATATAGGCACACATAGTTACTTTTCACCTTTCCAAAGGTAAAATACAGTACACATTGTTCTGTATTTTGTTATTTTTAATTTGACAATATACTGTGCTCTCTCTTGAGTCCTAAAGGTGGACATCTTCCTGTCTACTCTAACAAAGTGGGCTTTTGTGGAGTCTTTCCTGTTGCCCCCATCTAGATCTGAAACCCTGTACCAAGGAGTCATAATTTCCAGTAGCTTTTATGTGCTGACCTTTCTGAGTAATCATCCTGAGCCCTGTGGTTCCACCAGCTTCAGCCTTACACTTCTGCCTTCTTGCAGATCATCTCAGCTGTCTCCTTGATACTGATAGAACCAGGAATCTCAGCTTTCCCTTCTGGCTGGTATCCCCATCTTCCTGATGTGTATTCCTTGTGCCAGCCTTCTGTGAGTCCCCAGAGCTGGAAATGGGGAAGTCATCCTGACTCCCTGCTCTTTCCTCTCTAAGAAGTAATCTCTCTTCTCATCCAGCTCAAATTGCTGAGTAAATTTTTATTTGTTATGAGCCTCTCAAGTGGTATTTCTAGATTTACATCCCTGAAGTCTTTCATTATGAGGTCTCTGCCAATAAACCTACAATGACTTGCATTACCTTTTAAATAACTGACTTGATTTCAAGACCTTCCAATTTTCTCTGTTTTCTTTTTCTCTCATTATTTCCTGCCTAATTCCTGGAGTTTACTCAGCTGGCATCCTTAAGGATGTGTGATGCCTTTGCTCATCAGCTTGCCTCTGCTCGTGCTATTCTGGCAGTCTGTACTTGAGCCATGCTCGAAGGCTGAGCTCATGTCGTTTCTTGTGGGTGAAACCTTACTGGATGGCTTCTGTCATGCTGATCTCCTTTTCTGGCCTCTCACCTGCTTAGCATCTACAGCCCCACAATCACAGTGTTTCAATTGTCCTTTCATCACAGAGATAATAACTTACAGGTGGAAGATACGCTCAGGCCACAAGTACTGATTGTAAAGCTGGTCAGAAATTCGTCAGTGACTTGATCAGCTACCATTTTAAAAAGTTTTTTACTGGGAAAATTCAAAAGCTATTTGAAGATCATTTCCAGACTTCTGGGACTTCCCTGGTGGCTCAGCAGGTAAAGAACCTGCCTGCTAATGCAGGAGATGCGAGTTTGATCCCTGGGTCAGGAGGATCCCCTGGAGGTGGAAATGCAACCCACTCCAGTATACTTGCCTGGGAAATCCCATGGACAGAGGAGCCTGGTAGACTACAGTCCATGGGGTCACAAAGAGTTGGACACAACTGAGCACAAAGCAGGACTCCCTAACTTCTAGGAGCTAAGCTTAAAATTAATAATAAATGCCAGTTCTTCAGCAGAGTAGAATCTCTCTCTGTTGTAATGGACTTGGGTAGTAAAAGGGGAAAATAGTATATAGTGAAGAAAGCAGGAAAAACCTGAAGAAAACCAGGGTCTAGGTCCTTATTGGGTGCCTGTAGCTTTTAGACACTGTGGTATGCTGAATAATGATATCCTCCTCCCCGCACAAAATGTCCACATCCGAAGCTGCATATGGTGCTTTATGTGGCAAAAGTGGCTTTTCAGATGTGAGTTAAACTAGGAATCTTTGAGATGCAGAGATTATCTTGGATTGTCTGGATGGGCCCATTGTAATCATGAGTTCCTTATAAGAGTGAGCGTCAGAGACACCGATATGAGTGACAGAAGCAGAGATGGGAATAATATACTTTGAAGATAGAAAGAGGAGCTACAAGTCAAAGAATGCAAGCAGCTTTTAAAGCTGGGAAAAGCAGGGATATGGATTCTCCGCTAGAGCTTCTGAAGGAAAGCTATTTTGATTTTAGCCCAGTGAAAGCCATTGATAACCTCTGACTTTCAGACTGTGAGATGGATGATTTGTTACAGCAGCAATTGGAAACTAGTAGAGACCTTTCCGTTGTTGGAGGACTAATACCTCAGCCGTGATGATAGGTGGCTTCCACATAGTGAATTTGTCAGACATTTTGTTGGTTTTACAAGCTCATTTAATCTTCAGAAAACTCACCTAAGGGGCGTGGCAGAGCCAGTAATTAAATACAGATTATCAGACTATAACTCCTCTATCTTTTTCTTCGCAGTATGCTGTCTTTCAGGTCTGTCTCTTCTGCCATCACTCTACAAATTATTCTGCAGTGTTACAAGAACTTTAGGAGTATCCTTAAACTCGGTGATTTTTGCCCTTTGGGCAGATGATTTTGTGTTACTGAGTGAACTGTGTGGAATAGGAAATAAGGCTTGAAGGCTTGTTGGTGATACTTTCACTTAACACCCCTCATTTTTTTGGTAGGTGTCCAAATAGGAGAGCAATAGGACATTATAACACAGAAATGAATTGACACGCTTTAATAATTTAAATATTAGTTGCTGAGGGGCTGGTTGTTCGTCTGTCTTTTGCTAAACCAGTTATTATTTTTTCACGTTAGTAGTATTAAATGTGTCAGAATCCTCCAGACAGCCCCTCCAAGTTCAGTGGTTCACTGGAAGTACACACTGAACTCAGAAGGCATTACACTCAGTGTAATGGATTGTTACAGTGAAAGGATGCGGAGCAGCATCAGCAGAGGGTAAGGTGTGTGGAGCTAAGTCCAGAGGAAACCAAGTGCAGGCTTTCAGTAGCTCCTTACTCTAGTCCTCCTTTACATGGGGAAATGTTCCTAAATGGGTTTTATTCATATTCATTACACATTTTGTATTCTGGTTAACTACTTATGTTCACTCTTTACTATTTTCCTCTTTCCTGTTATGATCTTTCTCTGGGTTACCAGTCTATTTGGAAACAAGTTCACACTTGCCTTTTCAATAACATGGGCAATAAATCTTACCTTGTCCACCCTACTCTTAGAATTTGTTTTCTCTATACTCTCATGGACTTTTTCTATTTATTTCAGAATGGATGAAAAATCTTGAAAGCAAAGCATTGATCCCAACACAGAGCATACTTGAGGAGGAACAGTCCCATAGCATGAAGTTGGAGAGATACATATGGGATGATCCTTGGTTCTCCAGGTTAGAAGTTTTGGGATGTAAAGACCAATTAGAAATGTATCACGTGAACCAGAGTACAGCTATGAGGCAGATGGTCTTCATGCAAAAGCAGATACTATCGCAAAGAGGCTCTGAGTTCTGTGAACTTGGAGCAGGGTGTAGCCAGAGCTTAAGCATTGTTCCATCTCAGAGAGTTTCTCAAATAGAACATTTCTATAAGCCTGATGTAAATGCTGAAAGTTGGAGATGTAACTCAGCCATAATGTATACTGATAAGATTACCTGTGAAAATAATGGGTATGACCAAGCCTTCTACCAGTCCATGCAGCCTGTTCACCCTGCAAGTGTACAAACTGGAGATAATCTTTTAAAATGTACTGATGCTGTTAAATCTTTCAATCACATACTGCATTTTGGTGATCATATGGGAATGCATACAGGAGAAAAACTCTATGAGTATAAGGAATGCCATCAAATCTTTAACCAGAGCCCATCATTTAGTGAACATCCAGGAATTCATAATGGAGGAAACCAGTATGATTACAAAGAATATGAAAACATTTTTTATTTTTCATCCTTTATGGAACATCAAAAAATTGGTACTGTAGAGAAAGCATATAAATACAACGAATGGGAGAAAGTCTTTGGGTATGACTCCTTCCTTACACAACATACAAGCACTTACACTACAGAGAAACCTTATGAATATAATGAATGTGGAACATCTTTCATCTGGAGTTCTTACCTTATCCAACATAAGAAAACTCATACTGGAGAGAAACCCTATGAATGTGATAAATGTGGAAAGGTTTTTAGGAATCGTTCAGCCCTTACTAAACATGAACGGACTCACACTGGAATAAAACCTTATGAATGTAATAAATGTGGAAAAGCCTTCAGCTGGAATTCTCATCTTATTGTACATAAGAGAATTCATACAGGAGAGAAACCTTATGTATGTAATGAATGTGGGAAGTCTTTCAACTGGAATTCCCATCTTATTGGGCATCAGAGAACTCATACTGGAGAGAAACCTTTTGAATGTACTGAATGTGGGAAATCTTTCAGCTGGAGCTCCCATCTTATTGCCCATATGAGAATGCATACTGGAGAGAAGCCCTTTAAATGTGATGAATGTGAAAAAGCATTTAGGGATTACTCAGCCCTTAGTAAACATGAAAGAACTCACTCTGGAGCAAAACCATATAAATGTACTGAATGTGGAAAATCCTTCAGCTGGAGCTCCCACCTTATTGCCCATCAGAGAACTCACACGGGAGAGAAACCCTATAACTGTCAGGAATGTGGCAAAGCATTTAGAGAACGTTCAGCCCTCACTAAACATGAAATAATTCATTCTGGGATTAAGCCCTATGAATGCAATAAATGTGGAAAATCCTGTAGCCAAATGGCTCACCTTGTTAGACATCAAAGAACTCATACTGGAGAAAAGCCCTATGAATGCAATAAATGTGGAAAATCCTTCAGCCAGAGCTGTCACCTTGTTGCTCATCGGAGAATCCACACTGGTGAGAAACCCTACAAATGTAATCAATGTGAAAGATCCTTTAACTGTAGCTCTCATCTTATTGCTCACCGGAGAACTCATACTGGAGAGAAACCATATAGATGTAATGAGTGTGGAAAAGCATTTAATGAGAGTTCTTCTCTTATTGTACATCTGAGAAACCATACTGGAGAAAAACCCTACAAATGTAATCATTGTGAGAAAGCTTTCTGTAAGAATTCATCTCTTATTATTCATCAAAGAATGCATAGTGGAGAGAAACGCTTTATATGCAACAACTGTGGAAAAGCCTTTAGTGGTCACTCAACCCTCCTCCAACACCAGAGAATTCATAGTGAAGAGAAACTCTGTGAATTGAATTGATGAGGTTTTTATTTTATTGTACACTTGATAACACACTGAAAAAACCCTGTAAGTATAATCAAGTGGGGAAATTTTAATAAGAGTTTAGTAAGACTTCTCCCCCTATTAATCAGTAGAAATTATCTTTGTAGAAGAAACCTGTGAATGAAAAGAATAAGTAAAAGCCTTCCACAGTTATGTAGCCCTTGTTTAAAATCAAATAAGTACAGTGAAGAGAACTCCAGACTCCCCTCATGGTTCACCAGGAATCCTACTTGAGCAACATGAACATAGGGAATGAAACGTCTTTTAGTAAGAGATCTCTACTGTTTGTGGCTCAGAGTGCATTGTTATGGGAAAAACTTTATCCTAGAAAAGTATTTTCAACTGGAAATACACTCTTTTGCATCAAGCTGGAGTATTGAATGGAAGCTTTACAATAATATTTGTGCATCATTATGGAAACACAGATTGTGCTATTGTAAGAGGAGGGTCTGGGTGCCCTTTAAGAATAGAGTATGGAATACTAAACCTGAATTTAAGAAAAAAAATAGTATTGAATGGGATATTTACTTTAATCAGGATTAGCCTTAGAGTAGTAAATGAGATTACTAATGATGGAAAGGTTATTGCGCAGAAGTATGAGACTGATGTTCTTGGAACAAAAGGTGATACTTAATAACCCAGTGTGTCAGTGTCCATGGTTTACTCATTACTGCAGTTGGACAATTAGTTTGTAATCTGTTTTAGGCCATCACGTAAGTTATAATTATGGACACTGAGTCAGAACGCATAACATAAAGGAATAAAAAGGACATAGAACTGTATGTATATATCCACTAGAACATCTGAGAAGTGTATTTGCATAAGGACTGGAAATACTCATGGGTAAATTAACCTAATTAAGATTTTAAGTTTTACAAACACATGCAGCACTTACCATGTACTAGACTTTTTAAAAAATGCTTTTCAGATATTAACTTATTCAATCCCCTTAATTCTATAAGATAGGAACTATTATTATCTCAATTTTACAAGTGGGGAAACTGAGGCAGAGATCATAAGAAACCTACCTAAGGACACACAACTAGTTAGGAGTGGAGAGGCTGACGCCAGAGTTCACGTTTATAACCACTGTGTTATGCTGCCTCTGCGGTGATTTTTTTTTCCCCTTAATGTGTTTTTAAAAATTTTCTTCACTGTTTTTATAGTAGATATTTGATAATAAAAATCAAATTCCTAAACAATGAAAAATAAAGTTACCCGGCTCTTTGCCTGTGGAATTTCTGGTAATATGAGAGCAAAGCTCCCTTTGAAATATGAAGTCTGGATTGGACAGTGAGAATCACTGCATTGTCTGGGCTCTGGTTTCCCAAGAATTTCACCACCTCCATCCCTGAAGATCATAGTTAGCCAGGGGCTGGAGGACTCGCTGGAGGTTTGGGCAAGTCAGAGGGATGCCCCCTCATGAGCTTCGAGTTACCCTTCACGAGGCGGGGGACAAGAAACACCTCTGCACAGGAGAGCCCCGCTTCTCAAGGTCTCCCTGGGATGCAGTGTTTCCTTATCTTCTCTAGATGAAAAGATTGCTTGATAGTAGGGAGGACTCAGAAGGGAAGAGACATCATCAGTCATCTCATAAAGTGAGGAAGTTTCTCTTGAGTGCTCAGAGTGGAAAGGGGGGGTAAGATGAATAGGAGGACTTGGGTGGTGTTTCTTTGGTTCACAAATATTTCTTCTGTTTCCCTAAAGTTGGGCTATAATTTGGGACCAACAATCCTTCCTGGATAGGTTTCAAGGTTATTGGTTAGAAATCCAGGGTACAGAAGGTTCATCTACTTCTCTAGGGGTCCATGACGCTCCAGGGGGTGAGAAGCAGTCGCCTGCTGGTATTGTGGGATGCTGTGTTCACTATCTGATACCTGTAGCTGGTGCTTATATAGGTGTGTAACATCTGATACCTACCTTAATGTATAGTTAACCCAATAAATGTTGCAGGGGTAAATTAATTGGATTTCTCATGTGATTTGTGCAAAGATCGTTGAAGAGTCTAGGGTTATCAACGTTATCTCTGTAAGAGAAAGCAATCTAACGTATCAAGAGTCGTACTGCCAATATATGGGAATTGTATTCTAATACCCAAAGAAATACACTTTGAGTGAACCCAGATTCTCTTGATTTAGTGACTCCAGAGGGTTTTGGAAGTCATATACAATATTCCACATATTCCACAAGCATCCTGGTAAGTTCTTCTGTAACTATATTACCAAGCTTAGTATTTTTTAAAAAGTATTTCTCTTTAAAAAATTTTATTTATTCATTTGGCTGTGGCAGGTCTTAGTCGCAGCATGCAGGATCTTGTTTAGTTGTGACATGTGAGAGCTAGTTCCCTGACAGGGATCGAAGCCAGGCCTCCTGCATTGAGAGCATGGAGTCTTAGCCACTGGACCACTGGACCACTTTAGGAAGTCCCCAAAAAATATTTCTAAAAGGGCCTCCTGGACTTCTAAAGTGTCCTTCTAAAAGGATCCCAGTCTTGTGTTTCCTCCTAGGAGGATTCCCTATCTCCCTACCACCTATTATACAGCTTGTGTGTCCAGGACTCCAAGGTCCCCTCTTACCTCCCTTATTCTCACCTATACATGGCTCAGTTCATTTCCCTTTTGATAGCCCTACTTCACTCTGCCCCAACTCTGAAACCTTCTAGGCCCAGTTGGAAGTCTCCATTCATCCATCATCTGCTGAAACATGAGTCTCCTCTTTGCGCAGCACCTCTTAAGATCCTTGCAGGGAGTGGCTGCTTTCTCTCCTACTTTTCTTCACTCGTTGCTTCTAGATTGTTCTCCCTCCCTTTTCTCTAAAACAGTTCTGACTCTTGGAACATCAGACTGTCATATCACTCCTGCTTCTTTGTTGCAGTCATCTTATGAATGGTTCACTTGTCTGCAAAGATTTCTACTCTTGCAGTACTGCGTCTAAAACCACCCCCATCATACTCCTAGTCCCATTATCCGTGTAGGCCTTCCCGTGTCCTGACCTCACAGCTTTTCTATTAGTTGGAGGCTAATTACTTTACATCATTGCAGTGGTTTTTGTCATACATTGAAATGAATTAGCCATGGATTTACATGTATTCCCCATCCCGGTCCCCCCTCCCACCTCCCTCTCCACCCGATCCCTCTGGGTCTTCCCAGTGCACCGGGACCTCACAGCTTTTCGACCTCTCTGCTAGTGGTTTCATTCCATTACCAGTAACTAGGACCTGCCCACCATCTGTTTCAAGTATCTTTTTCTAAGCTAGTTGGCTGTTTAGTACCAAGATTCCAACAATCCCTTGCCTGAAGCTTGTCACCTGGTTGCTCCCAGCAGATGACTTTGCTTCTTGTTTCCTGAGTGTATAGGAGCCACAGCAGAGGCTTCCATCGTAGGTCTCCACCACCTCTACCCACTTTTGGTAACATCCGTGCCTTCCCACTGTTGCCTTTATACAAATTGACTGGGTTGGTGCCAGAGCCTGTTCCATGTCCACTGCCTTAGGACATTGTTCCTGCATTTCCCTTATCTCTTGTATCATCAGGTTTTCTATACATACTGGGTTATCCCCATCGATGTGCAAACATACTTTAAAAAAGGAAAAGAAAACCCTCTAGCTCCTGTATCATTCTCTGCTTTGTTACAGAAAGCAGAATTTCTCAAAGGTGGTCTCTTCTTGCTGTCTTCATTTCCCTTCCATTCTTCTGCTCAGCCATTCAGTTGTGTCTGTCTCTTTGTGAACGCATGGACTGTTGCCCACCAGGCTCCTCTGTCCATGGAATTTCCCAGGCAAGAATACTACAGTGGGTTGCCATTTCCTCTTCCAGGGGATCTTCCCGACCCAGGGATTGAACTGACATCTCCTGGGTCACCTGCATTGGCAGGCAGATTCTTTACCACTGAGGCCCTAGGAAAGCCGTTGTTTCTTGAACCCACTCCAAAACCTACCTTGCTGCCAGATGTCTTCCACATTGCTAAATTCAGTGGTCAGTTCTGTTTTCTTCCTTGACTTTAGCAGCAGCATCTCAAATTCTCAGGTGATGGGTCATTTCCTTCCTGAAATACGTTCACCTGGCTTTCAGGGCTCAACCCCTGCCCCTCTGGCCTGCATTTCAGGTCCCCTTTGCTGTTTCCTCCCCACTTTCCGTCTGCTCAGGCTACCTTGACCTCATCCAGTCTTGAGGCTCTATAAATACCACAGTTATGCTGTTGAATCTCCCTTTACGTCTACAGTTTGGTGAGTTTTGAAAAAAATGTCCATATCCTTGTAACCACCACTACAGTAAAACTAGAGAATTTTTTCCCTTCTCCAAAAACGTTCCCCATGTCTCTTCACAGTTAATCCCCACCACAACCCTAAGACCTGAGCAGTCACATGTCTGTTTTGTGAATACACATTAGAATTGTCTTTTAGAGTTTTATAAAGATAGAATTGTACAGTGTTCTATTTGTATCCTACATTTTGTATCCAGATACTTTTGCTCAGCATGATTCTGAAGGCTCCTCCACGTTGTACTGTGTGTCAGTACCTTACTTTGCGTTACATGGATGAGCCACAGGCAGTCATCCTGTTCACCTGTAGATGGATATTACCTTGAGCCCAGCTCTGGGCTAGTGTAAATACAGCTGCTATGGATGTTCTTTTTCAGTGCTTTTTGTGTGTGCAGGCTTTCATTTATCTTGGGTAAAAACCTAGCAGTGGAATAGCTGAGTTGTATGGTAAGTATATGTTTAACTTCCGAAGCTACTTCTATGGGCCTTTTCATCTGATGTCTTTATTCTGTTTTACATTCTGGGAAAATTGTCTCTTCTTTTTTTAAGATTTCATCTATATATTTAAAAATTTTCTCTTTTTAAGACTCCTGTTATTAATACTTAGATGTTAGCATGTCTGTGTCTGTTGTCAGTATGTCTTACCTTTGCTTTCATGTTCTCTAATTCCTTTTTCTTTCTTTCCTCTGGACATTTCCTGTTTCCTATGCCAGTTTGCTAATTTGTTTCTCAGCTGTCTATTTGCTACTTATTTCCTCTAATGTATCTTCATTTCAACAACTGTTTTACATATCTAATATTTCTTCTTGGTTCTCTTTAATATGTTATTAGTTTCATTCCCTATTGCTAATGTCATGCCTTATCTCTCTAAATGTATGTGACTGCTTTAAAATTTTGGTCCATCTGTTCTAATATATGTGCCTCTGATAGAATCCGTAATCCAGTGTGCTGTTTTTCTTTTGGAAATAAGTTTGCTTAGAAAATTGCTTATTTCCTTGGCCCGTGAGCACATTTATTTCTCTTGTTTTCATCAGCTACTTGTTTTTATGCATACATGGGATGGGATCAGATCCTGGTCCCTATGAACCCCAGTGAGTTCAGGGTTGGGAGGATGGATCCTAGGATGGGGAGGTGAAGGCACCAGAAAGCTATCCAGTGACTTCTTACCTCCCAAGGTAACTGAATCAGTGACTTCTCACCTCCCAAGGTAACTGAGTCAGTGGCTTCTTACCTCCCAAGGTAACTCTGAATCAGTGACTTCTCACCTCCCAAGGTAACTGAGTCAGTGACTCCTTACCTCCCAAGGTAACTCAAGTGTGATCCACCAGCCCAGGGCTTTGTAGAGTCAGGGTGGAAAAACCTGTGCCTGGTGTCATGGGGTCTCTGCCTGTTTCTCAGCTACTCCCAAGCACAGGTCACTGCCCAGCCTTGACTCCACCCCTCAGCGGCCTGGACCAGGGGCCGTTCATGGCCGTGTTGATGCTGGACCATCCAACCAGCACGCCCTCCTCACTTCCCACTTCACCGCCCTCTCTTCACTTGCTTCATTGCATGCGTCACTACTTGGCATCAGCTCGTACATTTTCTCCTTTCTTACTGTCCACTCTGTCCCCCAATGCCACACACCAGGCTCTGTGTTCCATGGAGTGGGGACCTCACTGGTCCCGGTCTGCCATGTCTGTGGTGCCCAGCATGGCACTGTGGCTCCAGAAGTGCTTGGGACACCAGCAGGTTGTCGGTTGTGCTTCTCGACCTCCTCATCTGGATCTCCTGACTGCAGAGGTGTGGGGGGACTTGAGGGGGTGCGGCACAGGGAGAAGGGCTCTGCAGTCTCAGCAGATGGCCATGAAGCCCTGTATGTGGGAGGGCTGGTCAGGAGGCCATATGGTCACAAGACCATATGATGGGGTCTGGGGGTGGATATCAAGGAGACAGTTACAGGAATTGGTCAGAATCAGCATTATCCTTTTAAATGTGTGGGGACTGAATGACACTTTGAAGACAATGCCATTATCAAAATGTGTAATTTCTTAATTTGAAGAATAAATGTTTAAATGCTAAAAAAAAAAAAAAGCAATTAACTCAGAAGCAACAAGGCAGCCTTGCCTTGTGGACAGAGGAGAGAAGGGCCTGGGAATGTGGGTAGTGCTGGGCGCTCCCAGCAACACAGTCTTCAGTCAGGAGAGCCAGAGCTCACGACAGCCTCCCCTGCAGAAGCTCTTCTTTCTGCCTGGACAGTGCCCTCCATTGTGACCTCACAAAGACGAAACCCCTCGGCAGGTGGAGCAAGTGTGGCGCTTACGGGCAGCACCCTTCTCAAGGTGGGTCCTCACGGTGGGAGGAACCCGTGAAGGGTCTGAAGAAGTACTTGTGCCCCAAAGAGGGAGTGTCCCGGTGGAGAAATGGGGACCCTGATGAGATTTTCCAGCCAGAAACCACTAAGTTTGGTCTTGTTCCCCAAACTTCTTATCCTGAAAGTTACTTGGGGGTATCTTAAAAATACAGGCCCCTCCCCCAGGCCCCAGAAATGTATTTTCAACCAGGGCTCTGGAGGTTCTTATCCTCCTGGGAGCAAACGTCTAGTGGGACATGACACGGTTTATACCCCACAAGGGAGGAAGCAGCTTGGCTTGAGGTCACTGTGGGTCCACTTTGGGCAGGACCCAAGCAAAGTGCTGGGGATTCGTAACTTGGCCCCATGCAGCGACTACAGCGTGGAGGAGGATGGTGGCCTAGGCTTCATGGGCCTAGAGGGGCCACCTGAAGGGCTCCAGGATACAGGTGGGGTGGAACCTGGAGATGCGGGGTGACAGTGTGGGATTTTACCTCCACGCTCCTGGAAAACACACAATTTGTCCAACCTTTTGTGTTCCAGGAAACCTGGACTAGGAGCCCGGTGTTCACAGACCCAGGGGGAAGGACTGGGCAAGGCAGCAGTGAGCACAGGGAGATCGATATTCCAGGCCAGCTCCAGAGACAGCAGTGTCCCCAGGGACCTTGACAGTCCTAAGTCCAGTCTAAACAGTGCCCACAGGCAGGCCAATAGGAAGCTCCAAAGAGATGGGTTTGATCGGAGGCAGTTGTGAGACTGTGGGATTTAGAAAGCATGGGAGCTGCCTCCTTACCAGGCTCGTCCCAGGGGCACAGCAGGATAGGGGGAAGACAGGTTGGGTGTTGAAAGAACAAAGCAAGGCCCTCTTGATTGTCCACAGCGGGAGGAAGTCTTGTGGGGGGTGGGCACAGCAGGATAGGGGGAAGACAGGTTGGGTGTTGAAAGAACAAAGCAAGGCCCTCTTGATTGTCCACAGCGGGAGGAAGTCTTGTGGGGGGTGGGGCAGGTCCTAGTCTTGTCATCCCCGACATTTAGGAGGGGCAGCTGCCCTCTGGGCTGCAGCACAAGTGGAGTTGGCTCCTGGTCCTCGGGGCTGTATGAGCATCAAGAGGTGTCCGGTCTGTTCTTATTGCCATTGGTAGGAGGGATGAAAGCCTGTCTTGTGCATCATGTGAACTACCGGCTGGGCAGTGGGCAAATCCAGGAGACAGCCTCCTCCACCATCTCATTGCTCAGTCCCCTTGCTACATGCTGAGATGATTCAATCTATCTCTCCCTTAAAGAAATTTTTGCAGACAGCCACTTGGGTCTAGGCTTCTGGATGGTACCCGAGAGCTTGGAGGTGTACCAAACTGCTTTTTTTCAATGATTACACACTCACATTTTACATCCAGAACTAACTAACTCTCAGTGCCCACCCTGTTTTTGAGCTTTGTGTGGATTGCATTATTGAGCCATCACTGTAACCCTGTGAAGTGGGTATTCTTTCCTCCTCCTATTTTACTGATGAGGAAACTGAAGCTCAGAGGGGTTAAGTAACTTGATGAAGCTCAAACATGGCAGGAAGCCAGAGGTGAGCATTAGAATGGGCCTACAGAGCCCTGCTGTCTCCTCCGTCTGCTTCTTGTGAGGTGTCACATTGAATTATAATTGATTCCCTTCTGTCTCCTCAAGAGTCTGGGCACTGAGGGTCTTACTCCCAGCACACCCTCTCATTCTGTTAGTCTCCCCATTGGCTGACTTGGTTCCATCAAAGAATTCCATGTACCGAGGTGAGCTGACCTCACACTGGTGGCTCCCAGTCAGAACTGAGACATTCTGTAGGGAGAAGAGCTACTTGGTTTCTCAGAAATACAGGGCAGATGGTGGACATAGCTAAATACTTCCTTTCACCCACACGATAACAAACTAGCAGTTTTGGAATGATGGACAAAGTTCAAAGTTCTTTTGCTGTTTTATTTTTGTTTTTAATGGAGTACCCACTTCATCTGTGTGTGCCTTATGCAGGTGAGTTAAAACCAGTCAGACAAACAACATGCTGAATGGGTTGCTTCAACCATTGCTTTCACTCATTTCAGGGGAAGTAAAAAGGGGTGATTACACCTCACTGCTGTAGGTTTTCTTTTCCAGATTATTTTCCCTTAGAAAGACAGCCAAATGTCACCAAACAACCCATACAGTTCGGTAAGCAATTTCATTTGGTCCATGGAGCTATCCCAAGACCCAAAGGTGAGTCGTTGTTACTACTCGGTCAGTGAAATGGGAACTGTACTCTGTGGTGGTCCTAGCTGCTATTCAATGTGTCTTTTCTTTGTTAGTAGCGTGATCCATAAAATAATAAGATTAGATAGACGTTGCTTGGAAACTAGATCCTGTGTTCTCTCTGTGTGAGCTGGCTGATGGCAGGGCTGTCACTGCCTCCCGGCACCACCTCTCTGAGCTGATGACAGCACCGCGCCCTTCAACTCCGCGCCAAGTTTCTCTAGGTCCTCTGCTTGGGAGGAGGGTTCCCAGCTTGCGTGACTGCAGAAGCAGACCACACCCAGATGCACTGTGTTGCTAACTGTCCATGTTCATCAGAGGAAACACTGGCTGCGAGCAGAGCACCGCTCTTCTGCAGACTAAGCCCCATGCATCTGCTCGGCACTGGAGTAAACTTGCTGAGAAATTTACCATCTCAGCAATTAATATTTGGAAACTACATGTCATGCCCTGTCCTCTAATACCAAGTTATATTGTAATTTTCCTAAATGTATCCTAAACCTCTCTCTTCTCTCTGATCCCCCTCAATGGCCATCTAGCTCCGAGTACCACGCCCATGCAGCCCCCAGCGAGCACTGGTAAGTCGGGATCTGGGAGTGCACGTGGGATCCATGAATATCTGCAAAGCTCTTGTGTCGTATGGCTCCTCCAGGAGGGCATCCCATGATGCTCATAACTAACCTGTACAGCTCCCCCTACTCCGTGCAAATTAGAAAAAGGCACGCCTTGCCCCCCATGGCTGGGTTAGTAACCATGCTGCTAGGGACAGATTAGAAAATAGCACAGATGTCAAAGTGTCAGGAAATATAGAAAAAAAAATCATGGTTAATACATCTGTCCATCCCAAAGACATTCTTAAAGCTTAGCTATGGGCTTCCCAGGTGGCTCAGTGTAAAGAACCTGTAAGCGATGCGCGTTTGATCCCTGGGTTGGGGAGATCCTCTGAGGGCATGGCAACTCACTCCAGTATTCTTGGCTAGAGAATTCCATGGACAGAGGAGCCTGGCTGGCTGCAGTCCATGGGGTCACAAAGAGTTGGACACGACTGAGCAACTGAGCGCACACACACACAAAGCTCAGCTATAGTATTTCATTTCCCCATTCACTTCACCACCACCAAAGTCCAGAAAAGGAGCTGGGTCAAAGTGTTAGAAGGCCCACATTCTAGTCTATCTTGACACTAACTATCAACACTAACCTCTTGTGAGGTGGTCCTAGAGGTTCGCTGAGTCCCGTGCCATCCCTGAGCTTTTAGTCCCAAGTACAATTTATGATACAGAGATAGAAGACAAAATTGTTTGTCTAGTTGGATCACTGGAAGACTCCAATTTGCTCTTGTAACTCGGCTTTCGGTTACATGGAAAGGTGCCTACCTCATAAAAAGGAAAATACACCTTGAAAATACATTCTAATTCCAGTTTTGAGCTATGTTGAAAGTAGGCAAAATATCTCAAACTGTACCGGCAAAGGAGTAGGAAAAGTTAATTTCCTGTCTTGTGTGTAAGCCAGGAACAAGTGCAGTTTCTTCAGAGGGCAATTTGGGAGTTCTTACAAGAAGAATGCATTCACTTTTTGACCCACAGTTTTTAAATACACCCAGGATTTGTTTTAATCAGGTATGATAAGACCCACAGACTCAGAAATGATCATTGTGAAGGAGGAAGGTTATACACACAGAATCCTAGAAACAGCAGGCAGGGCACACCATGCCAAGCCATGTGGGGAAGGACCAGCCTTGTCAGGAGGCAGGGGGCAGAAAGAGGGGAGCATGACCCAGAGCTTCTGTTGACTTGAGGAAAGGAATGGGTGAGGCAGGGTAGGTACATGGAGTAAGCTTAGTGTTGCATTTGTTGTTATTGTTGCCGTTCAGTTGCTAAGTCGTGTCTGACTCTCTGTGATTCCATGGACTGCAGCACACCAGGCTTCCCTGTCCTTCACTATCTCCCAGAGTTCGCTCAAACTCATGTCCATTGAGTCAGTGATGCCATCCAATCATCTCATACTCTGTCACCCCCTTCTCCTCCTGCCTTCAATCTTTCCTAGCATCAGGGTCTTCTCCAGTGAGTCAGCTCTTTCCATCAGGTGACCAGAGTATTGGAACTTCAGCTTCAGCATCAGTCCTTCCAATGAATATTCAGGGTTGATTTCCTTTAGGATTGACTAGGGTTGCATAGTGTGAATAATTTTGGTGGGCTCTGGGGTACAGGAGTGGCTATAAAAAAATAGTCAGTGTACCTAGCCATTCTGTTTCCAGGAAATTTTATTTAAAGTATGCTGGTCTATTTTCCTAGTCCAGTTATCCTTCCCCTTTGCTCGGTGACTTTCTCCTCTGTTTTTCTCATTCACAAACACCCCCACCATATCTACCCCAGCCTTGATCTTACAGAATGACCTTGTTCCCACCATCACTGACAAAACACAAGCACTTGAGCGAGCATCTGCATCTCCCTAACTAGCAGCTGAATAACACTTTCTTATCTTTCCTCCTGGCCAGGTCAAGGCGTGACCCTTCACCTTTGCACCAACTTCCATCCCCTTGGGACACTGGTTGATTCTTTCTCCCTTTCCAGTAGCATCACAATTTAAAGTGTTGTCCCTGTGCTCATGAGATCATGATGTCAATTTTTCTGTATTAAAAAGCAAAACCTGTCTCCTGATCCCTCAGCCCCTTCTGGGAGATGCCTTCATTTCTCTTCCTGCCATGACAGCAAAATTCTTCAGAAAATTTTCAAAACTTTTCCTCTCTGTAATCCCTTTCCTTCTATTCTCTCATGAACTTCTGTCAGTCATGCACATGGGTAATATCATTTTTGACTAGGTCTCCAATGACCTTCCCATTGCCAAGTCCAATAACCAGTTTTCAGTAGTCACGGCTTTGAAACCATCTTTAACCCTTATCCTCCACATCAGTATTTCATTATGAAAACCTAAAAATGTACAGGAAAATCGAGAGAATCATTAAATGAACATTGCATATTCATTGGAAGGACTGATGTTGAAGCTGAAACTCCCATACTTTGGCCACTTGATGTGAAGAACTGACTCATTTAAAAAGACCCTGATGCTGGGAAAGATTGAGGGCAGGAGGAGAAGGGGACGACAGAGGATGAGATAGATGGTTGGATGGCATCACCGACTCGATGGGCATGAGTTTGAGTAAGCTCCGGGAGTTGGTGATGGACAGGGAGGCCTGGCGTGCTGCGGTCCATGGGCTTGCAAAGAGTCGGACATGACTGAGCATGTGAACTGAACTGAACTGAAAGCTTACGCGTTTGATCTTTGAGCATTTTCATAGTCCAGGTTCTTTTCTTCATGTCAAGCTGACTTCACATTGAGGTGCCAGTCTCACAGAGTTCCTCAGCTCAGCTGTCGAGCCAGAGAAGGGAAAGAGAGTGAGGGAGCGCCCGTGTGAGACGAGGAGGCACCTCAGTTTGTCGGGTGTTACAGACGGTTGAGTGATGTACTTAGTCAATTGTGCATTTGTTCCGTTTGTACCTATGGTAGCTCTGTTTGTTTATTTTCACTTCAGATGATGAGAAGAGTGAGCCTGCAAGGACCACCCTTGGTTTTATAGGATATTCAGTGGGCCTAAACACCAACCCCTGGAAAGCAGGTTTGTGGGATTAGATCTCAAATTGCCCTGTAATATCCTGTTTTATTTAAAAACAGCACTGTATAACCTAAGACCATCAGGCAACACTTCAGTTGTAAAACTAAGGCCACTCTCCTTTCAGCTATATCAGTGGCAGTTTATGCCATACATCAGGGACCATAAGAGACCGGCTTTGGCCAAAGACAGGAGACAGATGAAAAAAGGACTCAGGGTTTAGGTGGGAATTCAAATTATACTTGCTCACACAGGCTGTGCAATCCAGCTTGCATGGTTTTCTTGTAAATTAAGAATTTTATTTGTAATGTTATTTCTGATTTTCTCTCCCATTCCCCTAAAACAATATGATTAACAAATATATTAACTGATACATGTGTGTGTGCTAAGTCACTTCAGTCATGTCTAATTCTGTGTGACCCTGTGTACTGTAGCCCGCCAGGCTTCTCTGTCCATGAGATTCTCCAGGCAAGAATATTGGAGTGGGTTGTCATGCCCCCCTCCAGGGTATCTTCCCGATCCAAGGATTGAACCCAAATTTCTTTATGTCTCCTACATTACCAGGTGAGTGCTTTACCACTAGCACCACCTACGAAAGTCGCTCAGTCGTGTCTGACTCTTTGCAACCCATGGACTATGCAGTCCATGGAATTCTCCAGGCCAGAATACTGGAGTGGGTAGCCTTTCCCTTCTCCACGGGATCTTCCCAACCCAGGAATTGAACCAGGGTCTCCTGTATTGCAGGTGGATTTTTTACCACCTGAGCTATCAGGGAAGCCCTAATAACTGATAGTCACAGCTAAAATGAGATTTTATGAAAACTTCTTTTCCTTCTATTTTTAGCATGGATTCCTCATAGACCTGCTTTTGTTAAAGTAATTACAATTGCATGTATAGCCCTCACTATTGCCCTGATATTTGGGACCATTATTTCCTACGTGATATAGTAAGTCTATGCTAAATAATCTTTATTGTCCTTTAGTAAGACATAAAGTAACTAGATTATTTCATGGTAGTAATGTTAATAATGGTGATGATGTTGGTAATTCTTATAATCACTGAATAATTAGTCATTATAAATTTTCAGTGTTTTTCAGAATATGGCCTATATTCATGGTGGATCATGACATAAATGAAAAATATAAAAAGAAACATGGCAAAAAATAAAAAAAAAATAAAAAGTATGAATAAATAAAAAAAGAAATAGGACAGAATAAATACAATTTAGTAGAATAGAAATGCTGTTTTTCAACTTTTCAGACTTAGATTGTGAAGTAAAAGTTATCTCTTACTGTGGCTCATGATCAAAAATGTTCTGAGATGCTGGCATCCTCTCACAATGTGATTTTCTAGAGTGAACGTGATGCTTTGGAAAGAAATCTTAATAGCGCAAAGCAGAAAAGTAACCACTGTCTCTTTCACTAGAAACTTATCATTGTGGTTGGGGTGATAGTAGCATTAGGGAAGACACTTCATCTTGTTCACACAAATAAAGCTTGTGGCGAAGCTCAGTTTATGTGATCATTTTGAAATTAGTATCAGGCAAAAGCGAGCCACACTGTGACATCATGTGACTGTGATCAGGAGCAGCACGTTGATTCCTATTCTAGGATTTACTTCCAGGATTCCATTATATCCCATCAGAAACATCTTGGGGAAGTACTAAATTCTTTGTTAGGATTAAGTGTGCACATGGGAAATACATTGCCATGTATGGAATATCTTTTAAGGTAACCATTTTAGGACTAGCTTAAAGTATATCAAATGAAGGTAAAATGAAAGGTGAAATTGAAGAGACTTTGCTAATAAGTGAGTGTCACCAGCATGTTTGGTTCTGGATTTTCTAATCTGATGATCTCCTTTGACTCAATTTATGGAACTTCAATTTCAGCTTATTTCATTAGTATAAACAAAGATTTTAACGGATATGAAGATTCCTAAAATAACTCACTAAAACATTTTTTTTTTCACTAAAACATTTCACCCCGAACTCTTAGTGAGCAATTAAGTTACTGAGCTAATGTCAACATTTATAGCTTTTAAGTTTGTGTTACCCATAGTGACATTTTAAAACCTGAGGCAAAAGGAAAAATATGTGCCCCAGAGCATGTTTTTATGTAATTTTTAGCCATTAATTTTTTCCAGAAGTAAATTTTGGATATATATCAATGAGGGACTTCCCTGGTGGTCCAGGGGTTAAGACTTTGTGCTCCCAATGCAGGGGACCTGAGTTCGATCCCTAGTCAGGGAACTAGATCCCACAAGCCACAACTAAGAGTTCACATGCCACATCTAAACATCCTACATGCCACAACGAAGATCCAGTGCAGCCAAATAAAATAAATAAATAAATATAAAAAATGAAAATATATTCAGTTCAGTTCAGTCGCTCAGTTGTGTCCGACTCTTTGCGACCCCATGAACCACAGCACGTCAGGCCTCCCTGTCCATCACCAACTCCCAGAGTCCATCCAAACCCATGTCCATCAAGTCAGTGATGCCATCCAACCATCTCATCCTCTGTCGTCTCCTTCTCCTCCTGCCCTCAGTCTTTCCCAGCATCAGGGTCTTTTCAGATGAGTCAGCTCTTCACATCAGGTGGCCAAAGTATTGGAGTTTCAGCTTCAGCATCAGTCCTTCCAATGAACACCCAGGACTGCTCTCCTTTAGGATGGACTGGTTGGATCCCCTTGCAGTCCAAGGGACTCTCAAGAGTCTTCTCCAACACCACAGTTCAAAAGCATCAATTCTTCGGCACTCAGCTTTCTTTATAGTCCAACTCTCACATCCATATATTGGGAAAACCATAGCCTTGACTAGACGGACCTTTGTCGGCAAAGTAATGTCTCTGCTTTTTAATATGCTATCTAGGTTGGTCATAACTTTCCTTCCAAGGAGTAAGCATCTTTTAATTTCATGGCTGCAGTCACCATCTGCAGTTATTTTGGAGCCCAGAAAAATAAAGTCAGCCACTGTTTGTACTGTTTCCCCATCTATTTGCCATGAAGTGACGGGACCGGATGCCATGATCTTAGTTTTCTGAATGTTGAGCTTTAAGCCAACTTTTTCACTCCTCTTTCACTTTCATCAAGAGGCTTTTTAGTTCCTCTTCACTTTCTGCCATAAGGGTGGTGTAAATCTGCATATCTGAGGTTATTGATATTTCTCCCGGCAATCTTGATTCCAGCTTGTGCTTCCTCCAGCCCAGCGTTTCTCATGATGTACTCTGCATATAAGTTAAATAAGCAGAGTGACAACATACAGCCTTGACTTACTCCTTTTCCTATTTGGAACTAGTCTGTTGTTCCATGTCCAGTTCTAACTGTTGCTTCCTGACCTGCATATAGGTTTCTCAAGAGGCAGGTCAGGTGGTCTGGTATTCCCATCTCTTTAAGAATTTTCCACAGTTTATTGTGATCCACACAGTCATATTAGTGAGTTTTATTTCATTTAAACCAGGAAAGTAAAAGTATAATACATTTTGTTTCTGATATAAAGTATTTAAACTTAAAATAATGCCATGATTTGATATAGGACTTTTCAATTTTTAAAATATATTCTCAACTACTTTAATGTTTTCGAAAAGAAGAACCATAAAATAATACATAAAAGCGTGTATATAGAGACTCAATATTTTCCCTTTTGACTCAGGCTGTCATGCAGTTCATCACAGTGCTGATGGATCCTGCTTTTTAAATTTTGATATTTGGTTTATTGTGTATTTTTCCAGTTTTTTTTCCCTTTTTTTACCCACACTGCATTGCTTGTGGGATCTTAGTTCCCCAACCAGGGATTGAACCTGGGCCCTTGGTGGTGGAAACACCGAGTCCCAACCACTGGACGGCCAGGGAATTCACTCATTTCAGTTTTTAAAAATATTTATCATCATTACTGAGTTTTTTGGCACCCCCTTCAATTTTGCACATGAAGTGAGTACCTCATTCTCCTCACCCAAATCCTGTTCCTGTCCCAGTTTTCTGATTATCTGCAGCAGTTTTTACAGTCAAATCAGTTTTTCTGCTGCACAGCATGATTCTGGAATGTTACCCCTACACCCCTTCCTCCATCTCAGCTCCTTAGAACACAATTAAGCTAACCCTAAAATGATTTATTATTACATGTAGTGTTAGTTGCTCAGTTGTGTCCAACTTTGCAACCCCATGGACTGTAGCCTGCAGGGCTCCTCTGTCCATGGAATTCTCCAGGCAAGAATACTGGAGTGTGTTAGGGTTAGGGTTAGGTAAGATTCCCTTCTCTAGGGGATCTTCCTGACCCATGGATCTAACCCAGGTCTCCTACATTACAGGCAGATTCTTTGCCATCTGAGCCACCCCGGAAGCCCATTATTACATAAGTCAAACATAATTAAGAAGGTACCTATGTTAGAAAAAATTAAACACTGTATTATCCATTTCCACTTCACACAGAAATATCTGGTCAATGAGCCACTTCCAAGTTTGGATCTAGGTGAGGTGAACAAGGCACTCACTTCAGGTGCAAAATTTAAGGCAGTGCCAAAAACTTGGTAGTCAAGATAAATAATAATACAGTATTTTTTAATCTAAATTAATGCATTCACAGCCCCATGATGAATATTTTAAATACAAGATCAGTAACAGTGCCAGGCCAAAAAATATTGGAGACTGAGCAAAAGGAAAAACCAACAGTACCTATGCTATCTTTATATAAAATGTTGACATTTTGTTCAAAGTCTATTTCTGCCTCCCTCTCCATGTACTAGTACCACCAGGTACTAGTGACTGCTTTTTAGTCAGAAAATCACAGGACTAAGGATTAAGACTTGATGATTTAGTGTGAAAATTATGCTTTCGAATTTCTGTATTTTGGGAATTCTTTTGGTGGTCCAGTGGTTAAGACTCTGTGCGCCCATTGCACAGGGCAGAGTTTGATCCCTGGTCAGGAACTAAGATTCTGCAAGCCATAGGGCACAGCCTTCCCCTGAAATTATATATTTTGTTCTTCAGTCGACTGGTAGAGGCTGAGGAAAAACAACAACTTGCATCACTTTATAAAAATATCAAGATCCCATCGTTAGGAGATGAAGAGGAATTCTTTGAGGATGAGAGCCAGGATGAGTCCACGTACCTGCTTCCAGAGAATGAGAAGGAACTGGAAAATTTCATTCATTCAGGTAGGTGGTCAACCAGTTTATCTTGTCAGATCCAAAATTGCAGGAAAGCTGAGCTGACAATGATCGTTTGATTTTCTCAAAAGCAAAGCTAACTGGGAGGTAAGAAAGATGAACATTTCTAGCCACACCTGTGAGAGTAAACCATCCTCAATTACACAGAGGGGCAAACAGCTGTGTGGTTGCTTGGTTCCTTTTGCAAGGCAATTCCAAGGATTGAAAAGAGAGTTCAGGAGACAAAACCTTTCCTGGACTAAACATTTCCCTTACGCATACTTATTAATGTTGTGTTATTCTCGAGTTTTGAATGACAGGCAGATGCCTTCCTACACTGTCTGCCTCAGCCTGATGTGGAAATGGGATCCAAGCCCACAAAACAAGTTACTATCCCCGGGTCAGAGACCCCTGCTGATAGTCGCCCACCACCCCTGCCAATTCTTGTGAGGAGATAACAACATATATGCTCGTGTGGGGGCATGCTAAGTTGCTTAAGTTTTAAAAACAAATATAGTTGATTTACAATATTATACATTTTTATTTTATTTTTTTGCTTATTTTTTTTTCATTTATTTTTATTAGTTGGAGGCTAATTACTTTACATCATTGCAGTGGTTTTTGTCATACATTGAAATGAATTAGCCATGGATTTACATGTATTCCCCATCCCGGTCCCCCCTCCCACCTCCCTCTCCACCCGATCCCTCTGGGTCTTCCCAGTGCACCAGGCCCGAGCACTTGTCTCATGCACCCAACCTGGGCTGGTGATCTGTTTCACCCTAGATAATATACATGTTTTGATGCTCGTTCTCTTGAAACATCCCACCCTCGCCTTCTCCCAGAGTCCACAAGTCTGTTCTATACATCTGAGTCTCTTTTTCTGTTTGCATATAGGGTTATCGTTACCATCTTTCTAAATTCCATATATATGTGTTAGTATACTGTAATGGTCTTTATCTTTCTGGCTTACTTCGCTCTGTATAATGGGCTCCAGTTTCATCCATCTCATTAGAACTGATTCAAATGAATTCTTTTTAATGACTGAGTAATATTCCATGGTGTATATGTACCACAGCTTCCTCATCCATTCGTCTGCTGATGGGCATCTAGGTTGCTTCCATGTCCTGGCTATTATAAACAGTGCTGCGATGAACATTGGGGTGTACGTGTCTCTTTCAGATCTGGTTTCCTCGGTGTGTATGCCCAGAAGTGGGATTGCTGGGTCATATGGCAGTTCTATTTCCAGCTTTTTAAGAAATCTCCACACTGTTTTCCATAGTGGCTGTACTAGTTTGCATTCCCACCAACAGTGTAAGAGGCTTCTCTTTTCTCCGCACCCTCTCCAGCATTTATTGCTTGTAGACTTTTGGATAGCAGCCATCCTGACTGGCGTATAATGGTACCTCATTGTGGTTTTCATTTGCATTTCTCTGATAATGAGTGATGTTGAGCATCTTCTCATGTGTTTGTTAGCCATCTGTATGTCTTCCTTGGAGAAATGTCTGTTTAGTTCTTTGGCCCATTTTTTGATTGGGTCATTTATTTTTCTGGAGTTGAGCTGGAGGAGTTGCTTGTATATTTTTGAGATTAATCCTTTGTCTGTTGCTTCATTTGCTATTATTTTCTCCCAATCTGAGGGCTGTCTTTTCACCTTGCTTACAGTTTCCTTTGTTGTGCAAAAGCTTTTAAGTTTCGTTAGGTCCCATTTGTTTATTTTTGCTTTTATTTCTAAAATTTTGGGATGTGGGTCATAGAGGATCCTGCTGTGATTTATGTCGGAGAGTGTTTTGCCTATGTTCTCCTCTAGGAGTTTTATAGTTTCTCATCTTACATTTAGATCTTTAATCCATTTTGAGTTTATTGTTGTGTATGGTGTTAGAAAGTGTTCTAGTTTCATTCTTTTACAGGTGGTTGACCAGTTTTCCCAGCACCACTTGTTAAAGAGGTTGTCTTTTTTCCATTGTATATCCTTGCCTCCTTTGTCGAAGATAAGGTGACCATAGGTTCGTGGATTTATCTCTGGGCTTTCTATTCTGTTCCATTGATCTATATTTCTGTCTTTGTGCCAGTACCATACTGTCTTGATGACTGTGGCTTTGTAGTATAGTCTGAAGTCAAGCAGATTGATTCCTCCAGTTCCATTCTTCTTTCTCAGGATTACTTTGGCTATTCGAGGTTTTTTGTATTTCCATACAAATTGTGAAATTATTTTTTCTAGTTCTGTGGAAAGTACCGTTGGTAGTTTGATAGGGATTGCATTGAATCTATAGATTGCTTTGGGTAGTATAGCCATTTTGACAATATTGATTCTTCCAATCCATGAACACGGTATGTTTCTCCATCTGTTTGTGTCCTCTTTGATTTCTTTCATCAGTGTTTTACAGTTTTCTATGTATAGGTCTTATGTTTCTTTAGATAGATATACTCCTAAGTATTTTATTCTTTTTGTTGCAATACATTTTCAAAACTAGGAATTTACGAAGCTTGAGCACAGAAAGTGGGGAAATAGTTTCAGAGTGCAGTCTCCTTATCAGGCAAACAGCGTTGGGTAGAGCCTGAAAACGCCGTGGCTCCTCCTTTATCTTCCCATGCCTTTCCTCACTTCTCTTGTCTCCATTTATAGTTCCTCAATTATTAGTGTCTCAGCAACATGACGTCTACGTTTTAGTTATTAGATCCAAAAGAAGAAAACATTTTGAAAAGAAGAGACTGAATGCAGCACAAAACTTAGTGAAGGAAGTGAAAGTAAAGGATCCTGTGCATACTGCCAATGTGGGGAGTCTGTGAAAGCAAATAACTGAGATGCAGGACGTGCTAGCCAGTGCAGAGGAACAACGGCGGGAGGACTTATGGCTGAGAACGTGGGCCTGACTCTCTTCTGGAGAACCTTGTACAGGAGCACCCTGAATGATGCTAGCACAACTAGACGTGAAAGCAGAAAATAAATTCACATGATGTGGCAGTTCTTGCTTCCTAGCTCTCATAGTTTTATGAATAAATATAACTTAATTGGAAGAGAAATCTGACTTTGTAAGTGTGAAAGAGAAATTGTCAGGATTTTCTTTTCTCATTCCTAACCAGTAATTTCTTTGGGCAAGTTTCCCAGACCATGCCAGGGAACCACTTTCATAAAATAAAGCTTCCCCAGTGACATTATCTGTCAGTTCAGTAGCTTGCTTCCATTTTACTACGAGGAGAGTGAGAATGTCAAAATGAATATGACACTAGATTAAGATACAGTAACCTTTGTTTTTAAGGATCTGGGACCTGGTGAGGAAAATAAACCTGCAGGCAAAGAGCTGAAAATATTGCCAGATGTATTGTAAGCTAGGAGTCACCGAGAGCTGTGGGAAACATGAAAAGACGCAAGATTTAATCTGAACAGGGCTGTTAATCTGAAAAACAGTCTGATGGTTCCTCCAGAAGTTAAATATAGAGTCACTCCATGACCCAGCAACTCCTAGGTATATATCTGAAAGAATTGAAAGTATATGTAGCTGCACACAAGAGAAAGCTGTACACAAACATTCATAGCAGCATTATTCATAAGAGCAAAAAGGTAGAAACACCACTTCTGTCCATCAACTGATAAACAGGTGAAGAAAATGTGGTCTCCCTGTACAGTGGGATGTTGTTAAGCCGGACAAAAGGAGTACCCACACATGCTCCAACACAGATGATCCTTGAAAACATTATGCATAAGTAAAAGAGATTAGACACAAAAGGCCACACATCATATGATCCTGTTTATATGAAATACCCAGACTAGGCAAATCCATAGAGGGTGAAAGTAGATAAGTGGTTTTAGGTGCTGGGGTGGGGAGAAAACAGAAAAATGGTTTGTGGGTATGAGTATTCTTTTGAGGGCAATGAAAATTTTTACCAAAAAAATTTAGTGTAACCAGACAAGGCTGGCACCAAACCCAAGTTCAACTGCTCACTGCTGCAAAGGCCAATACTCAAGACACAAGTGTTTTATATTTGATTTACAATATTATACTAATTTCTACTGTACAGCAAAGTGACTCAGATATATGGATTTAAGTTGGGCCACTGCAGTGAAAGCGCTGAGTCCTAAACACTGGACCACCAGGGAAATCCCTGGACTACTTTTTATCAGGTATCAAGGATATGAGAAGAGCATAAATCGTCTCAGGCAGACATGTCTTAGCAAAAACCAGGGTGGCAGGCAGAATTCTGAGACGGCCCCTGAAAATCCTGCTCCCTGGTGTACACAGCTGTGTGTACACACCTGCCATTGAGTGTGGGTCTTTGAATATGACAGATGTCAGTCTTGTGATTAGGCAAAGGTGATGGGATTGTCACTCTTAATTGTTACATTAAACCATCTCTCCCAAGTCTTTATGGACTTTATTATTTAGCCCACCACTCCTCTGTTTATGGAATTCTCCAGGCTGGAGTGGGTGGCCATTTCTTTCTCCAGGGGATCTTCCCTGGAGATCTTTCCTGATCCAGGGATTGAACCGCATCTCTTACGTCTCCTGCACTGGCAGGCAGGTTCTTTACCACTAGGGCTATCTGGGAAGCCACACCTATGCAGGGAAAGACTTTTGCTAATCAACCCTTTCTCAGATTTTTTCTGGACATGCATCTTCCCTGTTGTGTAGGTGAGTATTTTCCCCCAATTCTGCCATAAACAGGATGCTGCATTAAATGTCTTAATTTCCCTAAAGTCTCACTCCCCCACACCTGATTTTTCTCAGGGCATTAAACATTCTATTGAATTCCTCTGCCCTAGTCTTTTTATCCCCAGACATGGCAGGACTGCCATCTCCCTACTGCTCTCCCAAGGTTTGGAGTCTACCAGGGGGCTTACTGGCCTCCATCCTGACTTCCAGACTATCGCCACTGTTGTCAGCGGCACTGAGGTAAGTGATGCAGAAACCAGACTGTTGGTCGGCCTTCGGACAAACCAGAATATTGCAGTTAGGTGCCATGCTTTTCCTTCCTTTCCCGAAGTAGAATTGAGAATAGGCAGCTTCCACCTCACTCTGCTGTGCCTGGGAGGAGGGCATGGAGCCGTTGAAAATGCCCTCAAATTTATCTTTTTTTCCATTAGATTTTTGGACTCATGGCATATGGCATCTTAGTTCCCTTACAGAGATGAAACCTGTGTCCCCTGCACTGGAAGCGCAAAGTCTTAGCACTGGACTTCTGGGACATTCCCCAAATTTATCATTTTGATTTGTGGAATTTTTTTTGGTTAGGGTGCTTGCTTAGTTTCTGCAGATCCTTCACTGGTTTTTACAGTATTTGAAAAACTATTTTGACCAGCATGATGTTGTTTATCTAGAGTTTTTAGGGGGAACAAGGACCTATAATTTCCTACTCTGCCATTTACTGATGTCCCTCTGATTCAAGTTTGACTTTTTTTTTTAGAACTCTTTTCCTTTTTAATATTTAGTTTTATTTATTTATTTTGCTGCTCTAGGTCTTAGTTGCAGCATGTGGGATCTTCGATCTTTGTTGTGGCATGCAGACCATATTTAAATGTTTACATTTCTCACTGCTATCTGGTGCCACTCTACCCATAAATCCAGGATCAAAGTATACACATGCCTTTAAATGTTCTTCGTAATCTGTCCTGTTAAATTTTTTAATAATATAGGCCTTTTATTTTTATTTTTTTACTTATTTTTTTTCCATTTATTTTTATTAGTTGGAGGCTAATTACTTTACATCATTGCAGTGGGTTTTGTCATACATTGAAATGAATTAGCCATGGATTTACATGTATTCCCCATCCCGGTCCCCCCCCCCCCACCTCCCTCTCCACCCGATCCCTCTGGGTCTTCCCAGTGCACCAGGCCCGAGCACTTGTCTCATGCACCCAACCTGGGCTGGTGATCTGTTTCACCCTAGATAATATACATGTTTCGATGCTGTTCTCTTGAAACATCCCACCCTAGACTTCTCCCACAGAGTCCACAAGTCTGTTCTATACATCTGAGCCTCTTTTTCTGTTTTGCACATAGGGTTATCGTTACCATCTTTCTAAATTCCATATATATGCGTTAGTATACTGTAATGGTCTTTATCTTTCTGGCTTACTTCGCTCTGTATAATGGGCTCCAGTTTCATCCATCTCATTAGAACTGATTCAAATGAATTCTTTTCAATGGCTGAGTAATATTCCATGGTGTATATGTACCACAGCTTCCTCGTCCATTCGTCTGCTGATGGGCATCTAGGTTGCTTCCATGTAATATAGGCCTTTTAAAAAATTTACTTTTTACTGGGCTGGGCCTTCATTACTGCACACAGGCTTTCTGTAACTGGACCGAGCAGGGGCTGCTCTCCGTTGCAGTGTGTGGGCTTCTCATTGCTGTGGCCTCTTGTGGGGCATGGGTTCTAGGTGTGTGGGCTTCTCAGTGGTGGTGGCACAGACTCCCAGGTGCTTCTTAGCAAGTGAAATCTTCCCTGAACAGGTATCAAACCTGTGTTCCCTGCATTGGCAAGTGAATCCTTAACTACTGTACCACCAGGGAAGTCCTGTTCTCTTAATGTTTGTGACTTAAATTTTGTGTCTCTATACCAATGTCACAGTGTTTGTTTTTGTTGACTTAAAAAAAATGCACACCGTGAAAGTGGTGCATCAAGTGTTGAGGACTATAACCTGGGAGACAGCATTTCAGACAGTGCTAAGAAACTGCTCCAAAGAGGCAGAGGAGAAGGTCAGTGTATATGCAGTTTTGGTGAAGGGGGAGTCCGTGCCATCAAGCACATTTTTTGCAAAAGGGTTCTGCTAGTCTCATCGAGGTTAGCACTAGTCGCAAGGAGCAGTCATCACAGGGAAGGGTTTCAGTGCTTTCCTAGATATGAGGAGATACAAGAATGGGTTCATAAAATTGGCTCCTGAAAACATCTATCTGAATACCCATTCTGCTAATTTTCCCCGAGCAGAGTGCCTCATTTCTGCTCTGCACCTTGAACTCCTTCCGGGGAGATGTTGAAAGTCAGCAGCTGCAGAGCACATGAGTTAATCCTCATAGAGGTAGATAAGTAAACAAGTAAGTGAAGTCGCTCAGTCGTGTCTGACTCTCTGCAACCCCATGGACTGTAGCCTACCAGGCTCCTCTGTCCATGGGATTTTTCAGGCAAGAGTCCTGGAGTGGGTTGCCATTTCTTTCTCCAGGGGATCTTCCCGACCCAGGGATCGAACCCGGGTCTCCAGCATTGCAGATGATGCTCTACCGTCTGAGCCACCAACTGCCAATTTGTAATTGGCATTTTTTACTCTAGATTTATGTCTCAATTTCTTTCAGGGCAATTACTCTAAATTTACATAAATTACTTTTGTCAATTTATGATCATTGTCATACAATTGTTAAAGATAATTTCTTGAATTTCAAACGATGGTTGAATTTTTATAATTTTGATGCTTGAATTGCACATGATATTTATGAGTTTGCTCTACTAGTAGACACACCTTTTGTGATTCTATGCAGGACAGGTGCATTATATCTGTAGCTTCTGTGAGAATCTGAATCTGTTTAGCCTCTGAGGGCATGCTGAACTTCCTGGAGTCCAAACTAATAAATAGGTCGCCAAACACCTTAGAGTTTTCCGTTGCAGACAGGACACTCCAGTAATCTGAATACAGCCTCTTTAAGAAGAGTGAAGTCCTGCCTCTGCCTGGAAACCCAGAGGCACCATTTCCCATAGGAGCTTTGCCTCCTTTACTGGAGCATGGTTCAGTTCAATTCAGTCACTCAGTTGTGTCTCACCCTTTGTGACCCCATGAACTACAGCACGCCAGGCCTCCC